ACAGTAAAATGTAAAATGTGACTTGAGTGTCACAATGGCTACACATCGGTTGTATTAGTTACTTTGCTAATTATTTTCTTGAATTTTATGGTACAGCATAATATTCTTGAAGATATCAGATATTGATGTTATATTATGCAATAGAAGAAAAACATATTCATTCATTTTGAGGCTCTTAATATACATTTAACAGCTTTTTTAGCTCACTAGCAAAATTTCAGTGGAAAAATAGAGAATTTCTTGGCCAACTTTCATTATGAAAAATGTGTTTATCTATCTATATATATATAAAAGAGCCAAAAACATTAAAATTAAATACTTTTCTCAAATAACAGCTTTTCTTTAATACCCAATAGTTACAGCTTAAAAAAAGTTTACCTTTTTTGGTGAGCCCTGTCCAGTGGTGGAGCCAGACAACCTTCTATCTGTTGTCTTTTGAACTCCTGATGAGCTCCTGATAGGTGATTCTTGCTGCAGGTAGACATTGTACAGTTTTAAGAACAGTTATTCTTATTATCAAAATTCTAACAGTTTTCTGGTGGTCTGAAAGTTTATAAGTTGGGTATTGCAAATTTTTTAAAGAGTTACTCAAACCTGACACCAACCATTTATGTAGTTTGCATTTTAAATATCTCAATATCTTCTGGGTTAATAAAAAAAAAGTTAAAAACTGTTTTCCATGGTGGTAACTATCTGACTACCAACTGCTTGAGTAAAATGTTAAAAGCCTTGATTAATATATAATCTCACTAGTCTGTAGAGAAATAATTTCCATGGTTCTAACAGAATGCAAGTTTTATATCAGGTTCTTTCATTTACATGTAAAATGAAAATTAAGTCTCTAAGCTCTCTTATTAAATCCACGCATTATACAAAATCTTTGCATTAACTCAGTTCATAGGCCTAAACATGAAATACAAGACATATAACTACTTTGAGCTGCAAATAACTAGCTTACTACATTAATATGATTTCAGTCATTGTTAACTTACAGATCTACCAGCAGTTGGCACTTGTTGGCTCAGAAGAGCTTGCTGTTTTACTAGGAAAGCCTGATCATCTTCAGAAGTAACTTCCATTTCTCTTTGCATTGCCTGACAATGATAAAAACACGGCATTCATATGCTCAAATTACCTTTTTTCTTAATACAAAATCTAAGAAAGAAGATATGCTTTCATTAGATTGTCACGCAGGCCTCTAAACAATTTTATCAGAAAAATTAGTGATGAAGCAGGGCTATACGACAATTTTAAATTACACATAGTTTGTTGGCTTCTTGAGACTCCCTCATGATAAATTCTTAAAACACTTATACATTGCGTTTCTTTTGGTACAGCCTTTTATGTTTCATGTTGGAACTTATAATTTTACATTTTGATAGTTAAGTTTTTTTTGTGGTGAATTAACATGTACAGTGAGCAAATGGAGCTTTAAATATTCCTCACTGAAAAAGGAGCCCTATAATATTATATCATTAAAAACCATTTTTTTCTCTTCCATCTCTTTTATATCTTTCAAATAATATTAGGAGCTTTCTTAACTTTGTCACTGTCACAAAAGGAGCCCTAAAAATAAGAATAATATCCTGACCAGCTGTAAAGAGATTGAGAACATAGTATATGCCCCCCCCCCCCTCTGAAAGAAACAAACAAAATGAAATAAGAATTTTTTTTCAATTAGGAAAAGCACAAAAAAGTAGGGATGCATTAAATCGTTTGGCTCACGTCTTTAAAAAATTATTCTAACACTTAATAATGATACTGAAATGACACAACTTTGCAATTAAAAATTAAAACCGAAAGAATTATATGACTCAAAGTTCTCATCAGAACCAAAACAAATTTATTGCTACAGAAAAGTATGACAAGTAAAATATCCTTGAATTTTTGCTATTGCTCAATTATTTTATTTGTGGTTTTGCAATTTATTAATTATCACATACTATTGTACTTGACACACCTAACTTGAAAATGTAGATAACATTAAATTAAATTTCTACAGAGCATAATCAATAACTACGATAATCAATAGTATATGTTGTTATAGTATAACCAAAATTCACCTCAAAGCTAGGCTACATTACAAAAGCCTGAAAACTGGTTTCAATGACACAGGGGTTTGATTCAATGTTTCTTGTGAGATGTATTATGTATGACATATTTAATGCATAAATTTTAAGTTAAAACAAATTTTCACCTAGGTATATTAGGGTGCAATTTAAGTATTACAATCTAATTAAAATGCTCAATTTTTAACAAATAGTAACCTACATTTAAGTGCTTACAACTAATAGATCTGTTAACACTACATTTAAAAAATTTCACACTAAGTTCATTTTATAGATTTAAAATTCAACTAATAATTTATCAAAGATTTTAAAATGTAAAACACCTAAAATAACAGCAAATTTTTATATTCATTAGAAATGATTATGAGTGAAAACTATGACATTCTGTTCCAAGGTTAACATTCACTATTAGAGAAGGCAATATATAAAATTTTCACCTTCCGAATAATTGGCTTTATAATGACATCTGAGTATCGGTCATCAGGATTAACTGAGGTGATGTTCTCATACAGAATGGAAATCTTTTTGTTGTTATCCCACCCAGAAGGTCTAAAACCAAAAATGAAATGATACAGCACTACACAAACAAGACGAATAGTGAGAAACAATAGGTTAGTTAAATAAATTTAATTCCAATCAAATTTAAAATTTTAATTCTAAATATTTACAAAAAAAATCATTTTAAGTGTTTAAAACTGTCAAAAATATTTAACTATTTCTAAAATTAATGGCATAATAAAATTATGAAATCTTTATTTTCAAAATTAATTCATTTTGCTTACTTACATAAATACTGCATCTTTTTCAACTACTAGAGCTGGTGTCTTGAATGGAAACCCATATATTCTGTGGACTAGGTATTTATAAAGAATATCACAGTTCTTGTCTTCTTTTACAGAAGTATAAACCAATGAGGCACCATCTATATTCAAGTTAAGAAAAACAAATCACACTGCACACAAAGACAGCACATTCGTGTAAGTTCAATATGTATTTTGGAATGCTGCCTAGAATCAAGTCAGAGTTTATATTTGAAAAGCGTAGCATGTCCTGTCTTATAGTATTCAAATCTGCACTGTCAAAAATAGTTTTAAAAATCAAGCAGACTTCATAAAGGATGTTTTGTAATTCTCTTTTAGGATGTTTTTATAATTTGAAAAAAATTATGTTAATACCATAGTTTTACATTTCACAAAAACTTAATATCATATAAAAATTATAACACTTTCCAAATGAAATTTCTAAAAACAGATGCACATTCAATTTGACCACACACATTAAGTATTTTGTTGGCTCAGTTAAAAGCACAAGTATCTATATTATAATTAATTCACTTCATAATTTTAAAACACATTTAGTATAAATTATTTGCAAGTTTATCTTTAACTTAAAGATAATATACAGATCTTATTTCTGGAGAACTTAACCGTTTCTCACATGGCAGCACCATACGATGCTAGGTCTTCCATAACAATACCACATGATGTTGGTTTTTCTGAGTGCTTCTAGTCATTGTAATAAAATATCTTTCTGAAAGATGTTAATTCAATTTATTCAATTATGCAAGAGACCAAGTAATTAATTTATTATTATTTCTTTCACATAAAAAGGATACACCTCATGCAAAACTTTCTTAATGCCTGCTGAATGAAGTCAAAATGTTCATCTTTGTAGTCATATTCTTTTTCCAGTGTGGACATGTAATCAGTCTGAAAAAATAAAACTGAGTTCAAAAATTCAAGAAAATTAACAAAAATAATTTCAATAATGAAGCAGTGATATAATTTGGTAATTTACTTAGAAATTACATGAACACATTATTTTGCCCCTATAATGGCCTTTCTAAAAATTAATTTGTATTTTTTTGCTTGCTCATGGCTCCTGAATTTTTCTCTTTTTTATATTTCTAAAATACTTTAGTGATTTTTTTTTTTTTGCATTATACTGATTAAATTAGATTAGGGAGTCAATTTTATCACGGAACCAACTACTAACAAACAGTGTCATATATAAATGCTGGGTGATGTAACCGATTACCTATGACAAGCAATTACATTTATTAGTGTCACTTAAACTAATTAATTAATTAATTGAAATTATGGATAACTCAATGAAAAGAAATTAGTGATTCTACTTATTATTATTTTCAATTATCTTCCCAAATAATTAACCTAAATTCCAATTAAATCTATTATCACGAAAATAATCATCTAATTGAAACTAGGTTTCCAATAATAATTATTTTTTTGATGATTCCAACTATCCAAGTAATTGAAATATTGCCATAAAAGTTGCTCACCCTATCTTTGTTATGGTAAAGCTACTTAGGCTATGTGCCACTGTCACTTGTCGCTAAACATTTTTTTTTTTTTATGTGTGTGAACTGCTGACTAGAAAAAAAGTAAAGAAAGGAAGACAAATAGTCTAGCAGTACCCATTCCCAACCAATTTTCCTTTTTATTGTCCAAGAATTGCTGATTTTGAGAAAGGCGAACGTTTTGGAAGCACCTGCCATCAACTTTTCTTTTTGTCTTGTACATAACCATGTTGAAAAAACACCGTACTAATCGATTAATGGGACTGTTGTTCAATCTATTAGCAAATACCACTACTAGTCCAGCTCTAACATGTATAAATTCCTTTAACAAGCCTTAATGGTAATTATATGTGATGCTGTTCCTTAATCAAAATAGTGAAGAAATGTGACTACTTATGTTCAACCCAATCATGAAATTTCAGAATTTTGTAACAAAAACACGATTTTGGTTGGATTTTGGGAAAATTGCAATAAATAACACAGAACAGTAGGCAACTGTTCAATCAAAATTGGTAAATTAAAAATACCTAACACTGTAAAATATGCAGTAACTTACTTTGGTAGCTACTACAATTATATCAACTCCAAGGTTATCGGTTAATGTATTTTCATCTAATGGTAACGTTATGGCTTCTTCTTCAGATCCTGATCCTTTTTTTAGAGGTGTTACACTTTCAACCTCATCACCTGGCTCAACATATTCTTGAAATCGTTTCAGGACTGAAAAAAATAAAAGTACTGTTTTTTAAACTACATTTGCTATTTTTGTTTGTATGTGTAAGTTAATGAAAATATTTGAAGTTTCATCCTTTCTTTATTTAATATACATTATTTCAAATTAAACTATACATTTTAAATACATGGACTTCTTTAGTGTTCTTTAATAAAAAGTGTTTGGGAAAAAAATCATAATATAGTAAAAACACCATGTAACTATGAATTATTTAAGCAGACACTATAATATATAATAGATTGCAAGTTTAAATAAGAGTATTTATAACTATTTGGTATGTCAGCATGTAATTCATACAACTAATATAGCAGAAAGAGAGTGGAGAGTTATTTATAGCTCATTGTTAATAAGTTTCTACCCTAAGATAGGCAACCCTCTGTCACCTGGATTATGTGAACTGTTCATCAACAAAATAAAAAGTCACACCATTAACACAACTCTACACCCTTCCATACAACTAACATCAACAGTCATTTCTACAACATGTAAACAATGTTCACTCATGAAGAAGAGAATGAAAACCAGGTTTTAAATTACACAAACATAACAATAAAAAGAAACTCCAACAGTTTTAACACAAAAATCTTCCACAAATCTGGTAATGATAACTATATAAAGTGGGACTTAGCCCACTCAACTCTACAATAAATTGGCATATTATCATGCATTTACAACACAGCATTTAATATATGCAGCAGCAGTAATCTACAACACAAACTAAAATCAATATCTGATACATTCGTTAACAAATGTCACTTCCCTAAACATACTGTCACTAGAACATTAGTCAAATATAAAAACAAACTCAATAACAGAAACAAAGGGAAAATGACATAAACTCCATGAAGGAACCAAAATGCACAAACTCAGACACACTAGTAGTTGTCCTACCATATCATGGCTATATAACCAAAAACATCATAAACATTTAGAAACAAGCATAAAAAAACACAACATAAACAGCAAAGTTACTTTTATTCAAAAACAAAGCACTAAAATCAAAGGGCATCTCAGGAAGGATTATCCTGACAATTTTAATGATGGAAGCATATACAAGTATCAATGTGATAGCACTTACATAAGCGAAATGGGTCATAACATAAGCATTTGGATTAAAAAACCCAACAATCTCCCATCCCATATTTACAACATCCAATTAATAACTTTAAAATATTATGCAACGAGAACAACACTAATAGAAGTTTCTTCTGTTAGTGTTGTTCTCATTGCATAATATTTTAAAGTTATTAACGTTATTAATTGGATGTTGATACTTCTTTTATTTTTTGCACAAACTCAGACACACTGATAAGTGTCTTTCCATATCATGGCTTTATAACCAAAAACATCATAAACATTTGGAAACAAGCATAAAAAAAACACAATTTAAACAGCAAAGTTACTTTAATTCAAAAACCAAGCACTAAAATCAAAGGTCATCTAAGGAAGCATCTACAAGTATCAATGAGATCAACGTGATAGCACTTACATATGTGAAATGAGTTGTAACATAAGCATTTAGTTAAAAAACACATAAGAATCCCAATCTCGATTTTATGAACACAGCACAATGAATCAACATCCAATTAACATAAATAACTTTAAAATACTATGCAATGAGAACAACACTAATAGAAGAAAAATAAAAGAAGTATTAATTATTCATGAACTAAAATCTAATTTAAATCCAAACACAGGGGACACTATGTTTTCTAGATAGGAACAGAATGCTTACGCAGTATTTCACACAACAGACGACAGTTACTTGATGATGGCCAAATGAGTGGTTGAAACATTGTAATAAAGTTAGACAAAAAATAAAAATAACAATCTGCTAAAAAGTTGTATCTCTGAATTTTTATTTAAAGTTTCTAACCCTATAGAATAATATTTTAAATTAAGTCTCAGTGACTAACTTAGGCCTAAATCCATACATCTATTATAATTC